AAACAAATAAACAGTTGCAATTACCTTTACCTACTAAAAAGAATATAACCCAACAAGAACCAACATTCAAAAGTGCAGAAATGCAACCAGTTGTTCTTCATGAAGAAACTAGTACAAAGACAAATGCTTCTTTTAAACCAATAAAATTAACATCTTTTCTACAAAAATCTCATTCTGTTTTAACAATACCAACTGCATTTCATGATTCTTTACATGAAGATTTAATTAATGAAACATCTGCAGATAAATCATCTCATACTTCATTGATAGAAACTAATCCTAATGTAACTTTGGTACAAAATAATACAATTATAACAAATTCAGAAAAAACTAGTGATATTAAAAGCCCAACACCAAAAAAAAAGAAACTTTCAAAAAAAGGATTAAAAAAAAGAAGTACAGGTTCAGCCTTGATTGCGAAAAATCATAATACAACATGTATAAAAAGTGATAATGTAAATATTGTAGATAAACATGAGTCACAGCAAGTTCTTTATACAGATAATAAACAAGATCAAAAAGAAATTCAAATAGAAATGGATCAAACAGATAATATTGATGTATCTATGTCAGAAACATCCAAAAATATTATTATAGAAAAAAATAATATTTCTTCAGAAAGTAATGAAAAAGACATACAAAATAATGATAATTCAGTGAATGATATATCAGAACAAATAAAAGGTACAGAAGATAGAAGACAAAGTCTTGATGAAGATGAAGAGGCATTAAGAGCAATTTTATTAGCTTCTTTGCCAAAACGAACAAAAATTACTAACAATGGCTCCAATTCAGATACAATATCTACTGCATCTACTACATTAAATCAAGTACTTGTAAATCAAACTGTATCAAATATTGTATTACCCACAGCTAACTTATCAATTCCACATGTAAATTTATATGGTTCTGAAAATGATAAAAATCAATCAAATTCTGGAGAAAAAATAAATAATATCATACAAAAAGATTTATCTGTTGATAATAATAAAACTTTAAATATAACAACTTTGGGAAGGAAAAGATCAATCAATATAACAAAAGGTCCACAGAGAAAACTTATAAAAAGAATTTCAATTCCTGCAAGTACAAAAGTTGTAAATAATGCAAAAAAATACCAAAATACAATGATTCAAAAGAGATTAAATTTACAAAAATCTACTCTTTATAACAAACAAAAAATAACAGAAAATAAAATTTTATCTAAAGTACAATCTAATGATAGCAAATGGTCTGCTAATTCAAAGGCATTGTCTGATACACAACGAATTGTTATAAATTTAGAGTCTGATACAGAAAGTGATTCTGAATCTGAACGACAAAAAAATATAACTGTTTCTTCAGTTCATTCTGTTATAACAGAAAAACATCAACCAACAATAAACTCTACAACAGAATTTGAAAAAAATTTAGATCAATTTTTACGTGCAGTGCGAAGGAAACAAGAATCTATGGCAGCTGCAAGACCAACTTCAATATCACAAACACCTAAAAAAGATACAGTATTAACAACAAAATCAGAAAAATTAAATTCATCCAACAATCTTCATACACCATTGGTAAGAATACTATGACAAAATATTTTTATCATGTATAAAATATTTACTTTTATATTTTTGCAGGCTGTTCGTCATTTGCCCGTATCTCAGCAAGAAGAATATCGTCGCTTAAAACAACAAATTTTAGAACGTGAAAAATTAAAATTGCATAAAACTATGGAAAATAATAGCTTAATAAAAAATAAAAATATGGAAATATTTTCAAAATCCACACTATCCAATAGTCAAAATAAAGAATTATGTATAAAAATAAATCAAATATCTACGAAAAGTCAAAATATAAATACACAACAATTAAACAAAGAAAATTGTTCTAAAAATTTAATAGATTCAATAAAAAATACAGCTATATCAACAAATAATGTTCAATCATGTAGTAAAACGTGTAATGTTGTTGATAAACGAGAAAATACAAATCCGAATCAAACAAAATTGTTATCAAGATCAACGACAAATAATGATGTTTGTGTATCCATTGAGAACAATCCAAATAATATTAGAAACAAAGTAGTTGAAAATTCTGTACAATCGACAAGTACACGAAAAATTTTTGAAATGCCTGCGCAGAAAATTGAAATGAAAACAAGGATTTCACCTGGTCTAAAAATTTTATCTATAGATGAAGTAAATCAGAAATATGTACAAATACAAGTAAAAAATGATACAAATGAACGAGTAGTAACAATAAATGACAAAGTGTCCTTAAATAATAAAGCAGTAATTAATCGAAATGAAAATATTTCTGGATATAAAGATAATAATAATAAAAATACATGTGATCATGATATAAATAACATGCTTTCTACGAATAATATTATATCTAATGATAATAATGCAGTAGACTCAGATGCATCAACAGTTATCTTGTCAGAAAGACATCAAGATAGGAAAGAAAATCTTGATACATCTGAATCTACGATTTCACTTTCACAACATCAAGAGGATTTATCATCGATTTCAAATGCGGAAAATAGTCATTTTCTATTTATTCAAAATAATATATCATCAAAGGATACAAAAAGTATAGAGGAAAATTGGGACGAAATTAAAAAAGATGTTAAAACAGAATTAAATACTCTTATTAATCTATCACGTGCAGAACAAGAACAACATTTAATAGATACTGAAGAAAAATTAGTTATGAAACGGTAAATAATTTTTCAATTATAGTTTATATCTATATAATATCTATATATATAATATATAATTGGCTTTTAATAATTTCTTTATTTTGATAAAATAGCTATACAATCTTAGATGATTTAGCGGAAATGTCAAGTAATCTTCGTCAGTGGCATATGGAACGAGATTTACAAACAAATTTAGTTGCTGAAGTGAAAAAACTTAGAGAACAGTTAAAAGTTGCTGAAGAAAGATTACAAGTACAACGTAATCGTATTAATAATATAGGTCCAAGAGTAGTAGCAGCACATGAAAAAGTTAACGCAGGTCGGCAAGAATGCTTTAAACTTGCAACTATTTGTTCAACTTTAGGAAGTAGGATTATGGGAAAAGAGTACAAGTAATATTCATATAATTATTTTCATTAATTGTTAAATTATTAATTATAAATATTTTTAAATTATTGATATTTTCTTTAGAGTACCTGAAGCTGGAGCACAACTTTTAGATAATAGATTAAAAGAAGTAGCTAATCATACGCGGCAACTTTCTCGAAAAAAAGTACCATCTATTGATATTTCCGATATGTACGAATTATCGAGATTGGAAGAAGAAACTGTATCTACTACATGTACAGAAATTTCGCAAAATAAATCTCTGTTATTAGAAGAAAATATTGATAGAAGTATCTTAAATGAAGATCAATCAAGAATAAAATCAAGCGATATTGAAAAAAACATACAAATAGAAGAACAAATAGAAGACATTACAATAAATAAAAATAAAACAGATAAGGAAACGGATATAATATTAAATATTTCCACTCTAAATTTTGATGAAAGATGTATATCTAAACAAAATGATATTGAGCAAAAAATATTTGAAGAAACAAATTTAACTAATAATAATACAACTACCACTAATATTCTTAAACCAGAAGATATTCAAAAACTGGATAATAATATGTCAGAAAATAATATAATAAGGCCTACAATTTTAAAACCTGATACTAAGAAGAGGAATTCTACAAAATTCGAAGGAGAGCTTCAGAGAAAAAAAACACTTTTATCTTATGAATCAATATTAACACACTTTAAAATACCAAGGTGGGTTTTGCTCTCTAAATATTTTAATAATTTTAATATATCTGTTTGTAAATAACATAACTTAAATAAAATAACATAAACTTTTTTTAATTTATATTACAAAAATTTTGAGCATTTTTTTGTTGTTTTTATCATTCTTAACCAGGAACACGAATCCCAATGGTGTCCTTTGTCCATACGAACTGATGGGAACATGCAGTGATGGAGATTGTCAATTTATTCATCAAACAGAGAGTCAAACCAAGTAGCATTTAGCTACCAAAGTGGCATTATTAAGTTATACGTAAGGTGGTTTTAATCTTTAAACATAAGATTCACACAGGACATTATGAAATAAAAATCAAGATTTTTAAAGTGATCATACTTTTTTATAATAAATATTAATTTTTAAATTAGAAAAGTTTTATTGCGAATAAATGTTATCATTTTTATAATTGCAGGTACTACTATTTCTGAGGAAGCAATATCCCATATAGATGGAAGAATCCTGTTAACAAGCAGAAGTAACACCTGAAGATGGTAAGTTATCTTCATCACGGCAGGAGTTTGTGCACAAATTAAAGTAGCCATTTTATTACATAAAAATTATAAATTTTAAAAAAAACAAAATTTTTAATACTGTGCTATTTCAAGCTTCTATTCTAATGAAAGTTTAAAGAAGATTTGCTGCAAGTGTTTATTTTTTACATATGTAAAAAGTGTCATATAAACTGCAAATAATTAGTGTGATTAATGTAAAAAAAAAAAAAAAAAAAAAAAAAAAAAAAAAAAAAAAAAAAAAA